TCCTTGTCTCACTAGATGGCATTTCCGTTCTCCTGTTGCTCAGGCCCAAACTCTGAGAATCATCCTTGTCTTCTCCTTTTCTCTCATACTTCGTGTTCAGTCCATCAACAAATTCTTCTGACTCTGCCTTCAAAATATGTCCAGATTCCCACCGCTTCTCACCACCTGCAGTGCTGTTGTCCCAGCCCAAGTGCCCGTCATCTCTGTCCTGGCTGGTGTGTCCTGTGTCCACTCCTGTCCCCCGACAGCTCCGTTCTTCGTGCGGCAGCCGGAGAGAGCTTTTTGGAGACATGAATGGGATCAGGTGGTTTCTCTGTTTGAAACTCTCCAGAAACTCCTCAGAATACTCAGAATAATGTCCAAAATACAAAACGTGACCTAGCGAGCCCTGCGTGATATTTAAAAAAATATTTTTAAGTGTATATTTATTTATTTTGAGAGAGAGAGAGAGAGAGCGCGCGAGATCAAGCAGGGGAGGGGCAGAGAGAGAGAGCGAGACAGAGAATCCGCTCCTGACAGCGTGGAACCCCGATATGGGGCTCGAACTGAAAGACCGTGAGATCATCGTGACCTGAGCCAAAATCAAGAGTCAGGCACTTCACCAGCTGAGCCACCCAGGCGGCCCTATCGCTTTCTTCCTTATCATTTCCTGCCACTTTCCCTTCACGCGTGGTGCTCCCGCCACACTGGCTTCCTTGCTGCTCCTTTGAGTTCACTCCTGCTGATGAACGCAGTGTTCTTCCTGAGCTCCTCAAGACTTCCTGTCTGAATGTATTCACGTCGCCGCTCAGATGCCACCTTCCCCCGGAGCTTTCTTTCACCATCCATGTAAAGTAGCACCTGTCTCTTGTCTTCCCATCACTTTGTATGCCCCTGCGTCGCCATCTTCCTGTGTGGCCCTTACCACCGTCTGTCAGTTGCAATTTTTTTTTTTTCTCCTTAATAACCATCTCCCGTTGCTAGAATGTTAAGTTCCGAGCGATGTGCGACCCTGTTCACTGTCCGTTCCCCGGACCTAGAACAGGGGCACAGAGAATGAGAGGAGGGAGTGTTGAAGGAAGGAGCGAGGACAGACAGCGTCCTGTGGGGAAGGGTGCCTGGAGGGTGGGAGTGGGCGGAGGTGCTGTCGTGGCTGGTGTTTCGGAGAGCCCCTCACACAAGAGGGACACGTGGCTTGGGGCCTGGACCAAAGCACTTACACACTGTTTGCTTTGCTTTGCTCTGTAAGTGTTCTTCCTTTTACTTGTCTGAAAAATTGTTCCGGTTCGCTATGAAAACATTCAAGCAGGTCGAGTCCCTCTTTAGAATCTCAGCCCATCCCGCTCCCATAAAGAACCAACAGTTGTTAACCTTTTTAGCCAATTTTCTCTAAACCGTCATTGCTCTTTTTTGCCAGTTGCTCTTTGTAAGGATTGTATCAATGATAATTTGATTTTAAGATATCGAGAATGCCCCTTCGGATTTTTTTGTGGTTTTTCTTCTTTGGCTGTCCAAATAGTTATTTGCTCTTAAGAAAAAAAAAAAAAAAACTCCATTTATGTCTTAAGAAACAGCATCCATCTGTTCTGGATCTCTCGACGGAGTGGAATATTCGCTACGAAAGGAGAAGGGGATCGTGAAGATGACGGTGCCGAGGACACTTGCCTTCTGCTACCTGTCACTGCTGTGGCAGAGAGAGACAGTTACTCTCTCAGAGCTTTTGAGGTAAGCCGGGCCTCTCGTAGGATGACGTCTTTGCTGACTACCTGTGTGAACGGGGGGACAGCCTTTGGACATCTCGAGTCTGTCAAGGAGGCTTCAATTGAGGAACAGAACGGAAAGACTGGGTAGCCTGGCTTCCAGTTCCGAACTGTAACCCTCCCGGGGCCGGCAGCTCATCTCCTGGGTTTCTTTCTTTATATAAGTGAAATGATGGTATTTACCTTGCACGGTGTGTTGGAAAATTAATTATCTACCGTGCGTAGAATGCTTGGAAGATGAAAAGTAACACTTAAGTACCTGAGTAGTGGTATTAAGTATTTTGCATTTCTAAGAGAGAAGATGAGCAGAAGACCTTTACGTTGGCGAATATGGTTACTAGTAGTTACTCCAACGCACACATTGGTGCCGTCAAAAGCTAAAACACAGGCTGTCTGTGTTTATAAGATAAATTGAAAACAAAACTATTAGGAAAACCTGTTAGTAGATGGCCAGTGTTTACATTTTTCAAGATAATTTACAGTGTTTTATAGTTAATGAGTAAATTAGGGCATTGTGTGTAAGCCTTTCTCATTAAATAGAGGATGTGCCAAAATCATTAGCATGTTAATATCGCTCTTGCTTCATATATATATTCTATTTTTTTTTTTAATGTTTATTTATTTTTTTTGAGATGGAGAGAGAGACAGCATGAGCAGGGGAGGGGCAGAGAGAGAGGGAGACACAGACTCCGAAGCAGGCTCCAGGCTCTGAGCTGTCAACACAGAGCCCGATGCGGGGTTGGAGCTCACGGACCGCGAGATCATGACCTGAGCCGAAGTTGGACGCTTAACCGACCGAGCCACCCAGGCACCCCCTGTATATATATTCTAAACAATAGCATTAGGTTTAATCCGTGTGTAGAGTGATTTTAAGAGCATAGGTTTAGAACCAGACTCCTGGGTTTGAATCCTGGCTATGCCACTTATATGTGACCTTGAGTAAATTATTAAATTTTCTTTGCCTCTGTTTCATCACTGGTGAAACGGAGCTAATAATAATAATATCTACCTCACAGAGTTGTAACCATTTCCAGTAATGAGCAGTCCACGAAAAGCACTCACCACAGTGCCTGGCACATAATAAGAACTCAATGCTAGTTATTATTGTTTCGTTGTCTTCATCACCATCATCGGTACTAGGCCCTTTGATTAAATAAAATGCCTCCAGTAAATGATGATAGTGCCTTTGAGTTTGGCCACATCAACCAAATAACAAGGCTTTTCTCAGGGGTGATTAACTCCGCATGCAGATAGTCCATTATTCAGTGAATTTTACTGTTAAGTTAAAAACCTCACCTTGCTCCATATGCCTTCACTGGGTGATCTCATCTTCTCCCAAGGCTTTAATTGCCATCTATACGATGATGACGCCGCCCAAATTTATATCTGCAGCCCAGACTTGTCTAGTGAGGGTCAGACCCGTCTATTCATACATACAGTTGCCTGTTGGACACTACTGGGGTGTCTTTACGGTATCTCGAAATCAGCATGGCGGAAAGAGTTTCGTCTTTCATTCAGCTCTCTCTCCATGTTTTCTTCCTTCGTAAATACCATGCACTCCGTTCCTTCCTATCCAGAAACCTCAGAATCCTTGACTCTTTCCTTTCTCCACGTCTGCAGTCAGTCATTACATCCCGTCAGTCATACTTGAAACCACATTTCTCCCCATCCCCTCTGGAATCCACCTGGATTACTTAGCAACCTCCCAAGGGGGTCCCGTGTCTACAGTCTCTCTATTTTCCTTTCGATAACCCAGAAACAACAATCAAATCACGTCGCTAGAGTTGGGTGAAGGGGCTGTCCAACTACCCACTTGGGTAAAGGAGCTGTCCAACTACCCAGTTGGATAAAGGGGCTGTCCAGCTACCCAGTTGAGTAAAGGGGCCGTCCGGCTACCCAGGGCAATCTATAAGGGAGTAACAAGACTGCTAGAGATCTCACAAGATGTAGAAAATAGTACTCACCGGTAATTCCTCTTAGGGAGAATATTATATGTGTTTGGAAGGGTGGGGGCAAGATCCTACACCTTTGTCTCTCTCCCTCTCCCTCCTTCTTTCTCCCTCCTCCCTCCCCTCCCTTAAAGGAGATTTCTGAAGTACCTTCAAGGAGATTGGATCTAGTTGGCTGGAGGGCTTTTATTTTGCTCTGTAGGACATACAAATTTGGGAACCGAGCCTAATTACCTGGGGCAACAGGAAAGGAGATAGTTACCACTGATCCTCTTTCTCTATTTTTCTCAGAGAAGGAGCTCCAAGTCACAGGTTCTCAGAGTGTGGTCCCTTGACCGGCAGCAACAGCATCACCTGAGAACTTGTTAGGGATGCAAATTCTAACCAAATTCTAACCCATTCTAACCTTCTGGATCAGAAACTCTGGGGGTAGGGCCTGGTAGCCTCTGTTTTAATAAGCCATCCTGGGGAGTCTCATGGATGCTAACGCTGGAGAACTACTGCCAAACTTGGAAAAGTATTTAAAGAACATTGATTTGAAGGAAATACATTACTAGCCTGGCCCCAGTACCCATATTTCTTATACTCGTCCTACGTGTCACTGTTTGGTTTAATCCTTTAGCAACGTCCGTAGTCCTTAGATATAAATTCAGAAATCTTAAGGCAGCCTTTAAAGAAGCCTGCCTACTACCCCAGCGATAACAATAGTAATAAAAATAGCCAACATGCATTCATTCCACAAATATTTCTTGAATGCCTACTCGACGTAGGGGTTATTCTGGAGTCTAGACCCTTGAATTACAGTTGTGAGCCATACAGAACAAGTTCCTGCTCTCGTGAAGCTCGAGACCAGAGGAGGAAACAGATGAGCATTGAAATAAATGAAAAATGGTGAGTGAAGTGCTGTGTGGAAGACTGCAGTCAGAGGATGGCTACTGTAGACTGGCCATGAGGGAAGGCCTCACTGAGAAGCGCTTTGAGTGGGGGTAGAGCAGCAGTGAGTATCAGAAATACTAGGACTCCAGGTCGAGGGAGGTCGTCAGTGCCAGGGCCCAAAGCAAGAGCACGGTCTGTGTGATTAAGGAGCAGAGGAGGCCCGTGTGACGGGAGTAAGAATTTGAAGGAGTCGTAGGAGGGTGAGGACAGGGAGATAATAAGCAGGGACCAGATGTTTGTAAGCCAGGGTAGGAGTTTGGGTATTTTTTTTTAATTGAGGTATTATTCACATACAATAACGTTCACCCTTTTAAATGTGCAATTCAGGGGTTTTGAGTATATTTACAAGGTTGTGCAACCATCACCTCTATTTCCAGAGGATAATCGTCACTCTAGAAGGAAACCCCACACTCGTTAGGAATTTGGCTTTTAAGTGTGATAGCAAGCCCCTGGAAGATTTTAGCAGGGGAGACGTTTTCCGACCGTTCGGGCAGCTCTGAGGAAAATGGATTCTAGGTAGGCAGAGGTGGAAGCAGAGGGACTGGGAGATCTTTTGCTATATTTCAAGCAAGAGACAGTGGTTTGGATTAGGGTGGTGGCAACAGAAATGGAACAAGGTGCATGGGCTCCGGATGTTTTGCAGGTGGACCCGGCTTAACGCCGATGCATTACTTCTTAAGCGATCTGTGATGGAGAACCAATTTGTTAAATTTCCAACCTGTCACAGATTAAAGCTTTTGGAAAATACCACCTCCCAATTATAAATAGAGACTCTGTTTTCAGGGAACGTGGTCAGGAGGGGCATATGGGACGCTTTTGGTCTCTGGCAGTTCCTCCGTCAGCTTCCTGGATTGATTCAGAGACCGATCTGATATACTTACCAAGATGAAATAGATTGTTCAGAGATTTGATTCAGTATCTCTTTTTTTGGAAAAGTTCTATATTTTTCTAAAAGAAAAAAAATTAAAAACCCACAAAACTTGGAAAGAGGTCATGAGCAGCACTCTTATAAATGGTGAAGATTGTTAAAACCCCAGATGGCCAAAACCTGTTCTGTGTGGATGTCTCGGTTTCCCCTGGTCAGGTTTATATTCCTTCCTGTGCTCCTACAGCACTGAGCGTGTGCCTCTGTAGGACACTGCGGCACTGTCTGTACTGGCTCATCCACAGCCATCTGTCTGTCCTGCTAGGACCATGGTGGGGGCTCTTCAGGTCTTATTCCCTCTGAACTAACCCTCACCCGGGGCTGTCGTAAATGTATTATCACATAGCGGGGATGACTACATAAATTAAGAATATATTCACATCATGGAATACTACATAGTTATAAAAATCATAAGCATGTAATATGCCCTGTATATAAAAAACCAAGAATGTAGTTCCAAAATAATTGAATACCGATCACTATGCACAAACACTTTTTGTAAATGAAAGAAATGAAGGAACACTAGGTGAGGGTGGTTTTCCCTATAGGGCTGCTCCAAAGAAGCCTGCTTTATCATTAAACTCCACAAAACACCATTTTTTTAAATGTTTATTTATTTTTGAGAGAGAGAGAGAGAGAGAAAGAAAGAAAGAGAACACGAGTGGGGGAGGGGCAGAGAGAGGGGGAGACCTTGAATCCGAAGCAGGCTCCGAGCTGTCAGCACAGAGCCTGACGTGGGGCTCGAACCCATGAACCGTGGGATCATGACCTGAGCCAAAGTCAGACGCTCAACCGACTGAGCCGCCCAGGCACCCCCACAAAGCACCGTTTTTACATACTACTTAATTCTCAACTTTCAGTAGACTAAAAAGTTAAATCACATTTTTAATCTGAAACTAAAGTTGAATCAACATTCTTTAACACATAAAAGGCTAAAAACTAGATGTCAGGTTAGCTCTAGCAACAGCAGAGACTTTGACCCAAAGCATTTGTATGCTAATTTATTCCTGTCTTTATCTTATTTTCCTTAACCATTTTCCTATTTTAAAAGTCTAACAGGTGCATACGTATATATGGCCCAGGTCGCAAGACCCCAGGCCTCACTCTGTGCTCGTCCCTGCTTTAGTTTTCTCCCTACCATCTTTTCCTACTTGACAGACTGTAGATCCCAGTTGTTTGTTTTGTTTGTCCTCTCTTTTCACGGGACATAAAACTCCTCGGGAACAAGCGTATTTTCCTGTTTTGTTCATTGCTATGTGCCCACAGCCTCGAATAGTGCTGGGTTTTAGTTCTCGATAAATTTCTGTTGAATCAATGAATGAATTGTAAATAAATATGTGTGTGTATTTATATACATATATAGGTGCGATTTTCTTCAACTCAATAATTTACTCAAGATATTTGATCAGCTACCGGGTACTGGACATTGGGGTGGAGTGATAAGCAAATGGGCAAGGTCCCTTCCCTTAATTATTTCCAGTGGCAGGTCCTGGTGACAGGAGGGTAGACAAGGGAGCTGTTCTAATGAGGAAAATGGGTCCAGGAAGGTCTCCCTGAGGAAGTGATTTAAAAGAGCAGACGCTGGGGCGCCCGGGTGGCTCAGTCGGTTGAATGTCCGACTTCAGCTCAGGTCATGATCTCACAGCTCATGAGTTCGAGCCCCGTGTCGCGCGCTGTGCCGACAGTTCAGAGCCTGGAGCCTGCTTCCGATTCTGGGTCTCCCTCCCTCTCTCTCTGCCTTCTCCCGTTCATGCTGTCTCCCTCTGTCTCTCAAAAATAAACAAACATTAAAAAAAAAAAAAACGTAAAAGAGCAGATGCTAATCCTGCGAGGGGCGCGAGGGGTAGAAGGATGCCGTGTCTGCAAGCCTGGCGGTGAGTTGACAAGTAGGACACATACTTCCTAGAAAGACTTAATCTATTTAGAAGCTTAAGAGATCATTAGATAATTGGCTAAGTGCTTTCTCCACACGCGGGCACAGAGAATCGTTGATATGTTCCGATTGATCATCTTGTGGCAGAAACGACGTTCTCAGCTGAGTCTTACCTTGTCTTTGAAATACGATGTTTTCAGCCCTTTTGTCTACTTTGCGAAATCAGTACATACTCCTTACTGAAGCTTTCTTTTCCAAAATACAGATTTGTTGAAGAGGGACACATTCCTTACATAAATGCTTTTCAGCATTTTCCAGAAGAGATGAAATTATATGGGCGTGACAAAGGAATCTTTGCTATAGAGGCAAGTTATTTTCTTTTTTTACTTGGTGGTCACTAATAAGACACAAAAACAGTATGGTGATTCGTATTCCTTTCCTGACTTACTCTTTGGTGTCGGCACTTTTTTAAAAACTGGCATCTAGTTTTTGTTCTGCCCGTTTGTCATAATTTATTTTCCTCACGTGGTTTCTTCTAATCCTTTAGGGTATCCTGAAAAGACAGCTATAGCGTGAGGTGTGCGTACCGCCAATAGGTATATTGTTAAGACTGAACTTTAGAAGTGTTATGTAGAGACCTTTAGGTAATCTCAAGTTAAAAAAATGTTTTTTGTTATTTGCATACTATGTTGCTTTTGAGAAAAAGAGAAGAAAGTTATTATCTTGTTTCAAGAGGTGCAATTTTCAGTCCTTTGCTTGTTAGTCTTTTTCTAGATCCGTCTTCAGATGTCTCCCGTGGAAGGGCTTCTGTCCCTTTAATTAGGAGTCTTTATCACTGTTTATAGTGCTCAGATTATCTTCTCTTTGCTCTTCATCAGAAGGTTTGCGGGATCCTAACTATAACTATTATCCTCTGTTTACCCACTTAAGGAATTATTGTTACAGCCTTCCCAACCTTCGCCACCTTACATCGTCTGTGGTTTCATTCAAGAGACATTTGTGATCCTTACTAAACCCCTGCATAAGTCTGGTTCACTGTCATACCAATTTTACATCTCAGCAAACAGCTCGGGGAGACAGAACGAATGCCAAGGCCATACAGTCGGCAGTCTCCAGCTTGGAGCTACCGAACTTGCAGCCTCTTCCTCACTGTGTCATCTTGGGCTCTGTTCGCCTGCCGCTCTGCCCTCCCTTTTACGCTGGTTCTTCGAAACGCTGAAGTAGGTGCTATGAAAACACAATTATGTAAAGTACTGATTTTGAAGCATTGAGCCAGAAGTGAATGGATGATTGGAAATGGCAGATAAACAAGCTTGCACAAGACCATAACATTTTACATCTGCGTTGAATTTAGAATATTGGTCACTACGAGTGATCTGCAGGGAACATTAGAGTTTTAAACCAGAAATGGCTCCGCTTTCAGCACCAGTTGTGCAGGAGCAGGTCCTGTGGATTTAAAGAGAGGAAGCAAGTTTGCAGGCGGGTTCCCCGTGCTGCCTCTGTGTCGTCACCGTTTATTCCATCTCCAGGAGAGAGGAGACGAGTCCCTCGTGCACTTGGACTTGCGGTGGTGTGCGTCCATGGGCAGCACAAGGAAGGAGGGTATGGTTGCAGCCAGCACTGAACCTGGAAGAGACAAAGAAGAAATAATAATAGTGGTAGCACTTATTATGTACCAGGCCCCGTTTTACATACTTTATGAACTCCTTGATTATTCAGGAAGTACATATTATTACACATATATCCTGTGAAGTACATATTATTACTACCCTGATTTTACAGATGAGGAAACTGAGGCACAGAGCTATTAGGCAACTTGCCTGGCACTCTCACTCTGACCATAGTCCAGCATGGCCAAGGTAGCCTTAGTTTGGAGCGAGACAAATGTGGGACCCCGCCACGCAGGGAGCATTGGATGAGACGCAGGGACAGGAAGTGGAAGTAGGTCATCGAGGCAGCGAAGAAGCTCCGGACCGGTTACCAAAACTGAGAGGTGGCCCTGTGGTGGAGATGGCACCCGAAACCGGAAGGCAGAGGATAGGGGGTCTGACGGGAGGATGATCTGGGCTGGAAGTGCCCGTGTGGGTCGTGTGTCCTGGCACGAAGCATAGGCTGGCCAGCCAGAGTGGCCTTCCTGAGAGATGGATCTTTATGAAAAGGCAGGTTAGTCTGTTTCTCCGATTGGGCAGGGTTGTGATCACATATTTTTATTTTTAATTTAAAAAAATTTTAAATTTGAGTACAGTTGACCTACGGTGTGACATTAGTGTCAGGTATACAGCGTGGTGATTCGGCACGTCTGTCCATTTCGCGGTGCTCACCGCAAGCGTAGCCGCCGTCCGTCACCATACAGCACTATTACATTTTTTCTTAACGTTTATTTTTGAGAGCTTGAGCGGGGGAGGGGCAGAGAGAGGGAGACACAGAATCCGAAACAGGTTCCAGGCTCCGAGCTGTCAGCACAGAGCCCGACGCAGGGCTCGAACTCATGGACCATGAGGCCATGACCTGAGCCGAAGTCAGAGGCCCAACCGACTGAGCCATCCGGGTGCCCCGTTACAGCACTATTAAAATATCACTGGCTGTAGTCCCTATGCTGTACGTTTCTTCCTGTGACTTATTCATTCCGTGACTGGAGGGTTGTGGTAATTTATTTAGAGGACTGGGGACAAGAGGACACATCCTGTTTTTCCAGTCCGCACTCCGGACCCCAGCTAATTTGCCAGAGGTGTGGTGGAGGAACTGAACTTGAGCAAAATCAAGGAGATACTTACAAAGTAGATGTTCCTACCACCTTAGGAGCCCTGTTTGTCTCAAGTTTTTAGTTTCAGAACTAGCCTGTGCTCAAGGTTGATGGGTTTTTCATCTTTTGTTGTTGTTGTTAACGTTTATTTATTTTTGAGAGAGAGAGAGAACACAAGCAGGGGAGGGGCAGAGAGGGAGGGAGACAGAATCCGAGCTGTCAGCACAGAGCCCAGCATGGGACTCGAACCCACGAACCTCAGGTCATGATCTCACGGTTCGTGGGTTCGAGCCCCGTGTCAGGCTCTGAGCTGTCAGAGCCTGCTTTAGATTCTGTGTCTCTGTGCCCCTCCCCTACTTGTTCTCTCTGTCTCTCACTCAAAAGTAAATAAATAAACCTCAAAAAAATAATTGATTTGAAAATCTGTATAATTCGTTAATTAGTAATTTCAAATTTAACTGCTAAAAAATTGTTCATGGTTAGTTTTCTTTTTTTTAATTTTTTTTTTTTTTTCCAACGTTTATTTATTTTTAGGACAGAGAGAGACAGAGCATGAACGGGGGAGGGGCAGAGAGAGAGGGAGACACAGAATCGGAAACAGGCTCCAGGCTCTGAGCCATCAGCCCAGGGCCTGACGCGGGGCTCGAACTCCCGGACCGCGAGATCGTGACCTGGCTGAAGTCGGACGCTTAACCGACTGCGCCACCCAGGCGCCCCTAGTTTTCTGAGCCTTGTTCAAGTGTTCCACTGAAAGGAAAAGACATTTAGCTTGGTAATTCTCAGTCTGTGTCTTTATATTTGTGTGGTTTTTCTAGAGGGACGAATGGAACTCAGTATTTTTGCATTAATCACCCCAGTGTAGTCTTGGGTAATAAAAAATTCTCTTTCTCTTTCCCTCCCTTCTTTCCACATACCCCCCGCTTCTCCCCTCTTTCCATCTCCTCTCCCTTTCTGTCTCGTCTTCCTTAATCTTCAGTATGTTCTGTGTCTTACATCCCAACTGACTGGGCTTTAACCTGATTTCTCAGAACCATTCACCACTCAAGTTATATCGATAATTTTGCTTGGTTGAGGTTACTTGTACTTTTTGCTAGTGCCTAAAATTATTTACTTGTATTTAACTCCCTACCCACGTCGTAAGCTTCTTAGAAATAGACACTGGGATCTTTTATATGGATCATGAAATATTAAAACTGGAGGAAAATTTATAGATCACTTAGTCCACTTTTCTTAGTTTTTCAATAAGGAAACAGGCCTAAGAAAAGATGTGATTTGGGAATAAGTAAACACCTACTTCATTAGGGTTTTCGTGAGGATTATTTGACATAATCTATTCAAAGTGCAGATGAATCACAGACGTTGAAATGGACACACCTTCTAGGTCTCAGGATGGAAAAGCTTTTCCTCTGAGGAGATGAAGAGTTATCCTCACGCTACTGGGAGGGAAAAAAATGTATCATTTTTGGAAATTAAAATTTTCATCTTAAAACTCTGTTAAAAATAAATAAAACAAAACCCACTTGGAATATGCACATTTCTACGTTTTCTGAAAGGAGGTGCCAGGAAGTTCATGGATATGATTCTTGCTTTTCCGTATAGTGTTTTCTAATTTTGGTTACCATAAATGCTTCTTGCAGAGGATATTGCTTCCTGGGCTGAGTTTATATGCTTGGGAGTGGTGGCTAACCAGTAATTTCCTTTTGAATTTAGAAATTTGGTTTCACTTTATACTCACAGAGACACTCAAACTTCACTCCATAAAAAATAATTATTTTGAAAAATATATACCTTGTCCTTTCGAATAGCAATAGATCCCCTTATTGCCAAATGTGTAAATGACTGCAAGAGTGACAGGGCACACAATCAAGAAACTGCTGTTGTCGTAGCCAGTGTGGCTTACGTTTCCCAGAAGACTGGCTTAAGCCTTTAGCTAAGAGTGGCTTTGCCCTCATAGGCAGTGTGGGAAGGATTGCCTGCAACTGTTAGAGCCACGTTTATATCTGCTGGTGATTCGGGTTTTCAGCCTGAAATATCATGTTCTCACTATTGTATCAAATCTAGACTGTTCTCTGCGCCCCCTAAGTTTTTATAATTTGAGACTTAATAAATATTTTGTAAATTAAGAAGCAAAATGAGGGGCTCCTGGGTGGCTCACTCGGTTAAGGGTCTAACTTAAGGCTCAGGTCATGATCTCACGGTTCGTGGGTTCGAGCCCCATGTCCGACTCTGTGCTGACAGCTCAGAGCCCG